CTTGATCTTCGGATATGAAGTCCTCATCATTGATTCCTTGCACGGTTTTCTGCTTCGTCGAGGATCATGTGGAATGCCCTTGGCCTCGGTGGCGTTTCTGGTCTTGCTGCCTTATTTTTCCCTGGGCAGTCCCTGGAAATATGCCCTTCCTTGTTACATCCATAACACACCTTCTTGTTGGACGCACACTTGCTGGCGTAATGCCCTGTCTTCCCACATTTGTAGCAAGTCACCTCCTCGCTACATTTCCCGAAGTGCTTCTTTTTACACTTTTCGCACCACTTGGTTTCACCTCCTCCTCCTTCTTCAATCTTTGAGAATTTCTTTTCCTTGTTGGCTTTTGATGATCCTTCATGTTTCCTTTTCTCGCCAACTTCAGCTCTCTCCAGACCTTTTTCCTAATCTGGGTCTCAACATTCCTGGCTGTCCAGATGGCTCCTTTCAAAGTGGTTGCTTGCTTGACCATTGGTCCAAAGTCTGCTGGTAATCCATGGGCAAACTTATTGACCTTGGAGAGCTCAGTTGGAACTAGATAAGGAACAAACTTCATTTTCTCTGTAAAACTTGCAGCATACTCGATGACACTCATCTTTCCCTTCTTTAGATTCTGAAACTCGTTGTTGATCTCCAGAAGATCCTGCTCAGAGCAGTACTGCATTTTTAACTGCACTAGAAAATCCTCCCATGTAGGGCTGTAAACGAACCAAACGAACACGAACAAGGTCCTGTTCATGTTCGTTCGTTTAAGTTAGCCGAACAACAAACGAACACGAACGGATAAACGAACGAGATTTTCTTGTTCATGTTCGTTCATTTAGCTAATTACTTTGTTCATGTTCGTTCATTTATGTTCGTGAACATGCTAAACGAACATAAACGAACAAACATAAACGAATAAAGATAAAAAAAAAACACAATTAAACATATATGAACATAAACGAACATATAATATAGCAATATAATAAAAAATAATTGAATATAGATGAATATAAATAAACTTAAACGAATGAACATAAACGAACGTAAATGAACATCATAAACGAACGTTCACGAACATAAATGAACGAACGAGACCATTGTTCATGTTCGTTCATTTAACTAAACGAACGATAATTTTTGTTCATGTTCGTTCATTTATTAAATAAACGAACATAAACGAACTTCCCGCCGAACAGTTCACGAACGGTTCGCCGAACGTTCAGTTCGTTTACAGCCCTACTCCCATGACATCTTGCTCGCTTCTCCTTTGGGCATCGAATCGGCTAGTAGCTTCCACCAACTTAGTACTCCAGATTTCAACAAAGGAACCGCGAGAGCGGTCTTTTGCCTGTTGCTACACTCGCAACTCTCAAACATCGTCTCCATCTCGGAGATCCAGTTCATGACTTCCACCGGCGTCGGGCTTCCAGATAGACTCGGTGGTTTGGACGCCATGAAATCCTTGTATTTTCATCCACGTCCATCATTTCCTCCATCCTGGTGGTTTTGCCTAACTATCGGTGGGTTGGCTTGACCAACAGTCCCACTGTAGTTTCCCTCCTCAGTCTGCACTTCGTTCAACTCGGGCTGTTCGATCTGTATGGTTGCTTCTTCTCGATTTTGCTGGAGCAAACGTCTGGTTTCCTCCATTTGACGATCCAACATCGCCTGGATCATCGCTTGCACTCCGGCCATTGTTATTGGCTCAGCAACGGTTACCACAACCGGTATTTGCTCAATCACCGGGGGTTGGTTCCGGTTCCCATTTGCATTCATGTTTTCGCTACGGGTCCTTGCCATCTTGATCTATACACTGAATAAGGTGAATCTAGACCTTTACTTAAGATTGACGTTTAAATCATCCTTATCACTCCGAAACGTTTATATGCTAGTTCTAATATCGTATTCGTACGTTTAGAATCCTAAACACATAAGGTTTCCAGATCCGGTCGGCAACAGACCATAGATCCGATCAAACTATAGCATCATTTAGCACATAAAAGGAATTTAGGCATCATTCCTAAAATAAGCTAGTGCTTGTGTCTATTCAGGTGCATTGCCTAAATCTATTTGACACACTCCTCACAATCATCACTTAGCATTCTAAGTTTAAGTCTAGAAATAAATCCATATTCCTAGTTCGCTTAAACTAATGCTCTGATACCAACTGTGACATCCCCAAAATCACGGCCAGAAAAGACCGATTTTGTTTATGCTTTATAAAAATCAGAGTACTTCATTTTATAAAAAGGTTGCGGAATTTGTTCCCAGAAAAACACGATAAATACGTTATTAAAACATTTTCGAAGAAACGTATTTTTATTCATCTTAAAACGTTTGGGATGTCATCGTTAATACAGAAACATAAGCATAAACAGAACTTACATTTATTTACACTAGTGATTTACATCTCTTTAAATCTCTCAGTGTAAAGTGACTTCATATCAACACCTGTGATACACATAAACTGAGTGGGTCAGGTTGGGAAACCTGGTGAGTACATAGGGTTTTCAACCCACAATAATATAATTGTTATGTTTAATCATCAAACAATTAACCCCATTACCCATCCTCGTTATCTTCTTTACTCTTAAGGATTTAACCTAAGAGTCGTCTATCCTGCATTTGTTTATTCCGAAGTCCCTTACTTCCAGGGTTATAGGACTGACACTAAATCCATAGCTGCCGATGTTAGTTCGTAAAGCACTACTTCCATAGCTGCTATATCCTACTCATCGGGTACTAAATCCATAGCTACCAGCGTTCAACAGGTACTAAGTCCATAGCTACCAATTCCTACAGGTACTAAATCCATAGCTACCAACGTCTAACTAATAGGTACTAAGTCCATAACTACCAATTTCTAACAGGTACTAAATCCATAGCTACCAACGTCTGACATGTACTAAGTCCATAGCTACCGGTGTTTGTCCCATAGGCACTAAGTCTATAGCTGCCAATGTATACTCACGTCATCTTCTATCTCTCATCATCTATCTACCCATCATCATACCCCACATATTCGTATATATAAAATACGTATACAGTTTAAATCCTTTAAAACATGTATAAAACATTCATCCAACATAGACAGCAAGTATTCAGATAATATGCACACATAGCACGTAGTTTATATTAAATACTTCATATCTATGTGTAAGATGAAAGGGACTATGCACTCACCTGATTAGGTGGTGATTCCGAACTCAGACAGCACTTCGTTATCTCAAAACAATTTTCCTCGACAAAACCTAGTATCAATACCACTAGGGTTTAGTTTTTAACGTTAACCACGACTAATTAATAGTCTAGCTATTATTACTATTATATAAGCGTTAAATAGCACTCAATATAACTCATAATAATAGCCCAAATAATTATTTTAAGGTCCTAATAATGTTACTATAATTAAATAAAATCTATATTAAATATAGTATAGGCGTAGCCCCACTTACAGCGAGTTTTTATTAAAAACCGGGCTTCGCTGGAGCAGCGTTTCCAAGCCGAAAGCTTTTCTTCTCAGAGCCGTCGGACGCTCCGGGGCTTTCTTCTCGTGCTGGGGAGGTTCCGTAGACTTGGGAGGGGTTTAGGGAGGCTAGAGAGAGGTTAGAGAGAGAAAGAGAGGCTTATGGTGTGAAGAAAATATGAGGAGTTCACCCTTGTATTTATAGGAGCTTTATAGTAAAGTAGTCTCTAAGCTTCGTCCGTAACTTTTGCATACGAGCTCCGTTTTTGTCTGTCTTTTTACCGTTGAGTTCCTATTAATGAGATCTTTAACTTTCATTTATACCTCGTTGGCTAATTCTCATTCTATCTCGGATTTACAAAACTGTATCGAATTCGCCGCGCTTGAAAAGTAGCGACTAAGCTTCGTCTATATCTATCTCATACTATCTCCGTTTTCGACGTTCTTTATATCCATGCGTAGGTAAAAATAATATCTACAAATTTCATTTTGGCTCCGTCGGCTAATTCTCGACCGATCATAAATTTAACAGTAGGAGGCGTTTAGACTATTAAATGACCGCGAAGAATTCGTAACTCTTTCATACGAACTCCGTTTTCGTCCATCTTTTTACTGTTGAGTTCCTATTATTGAGATCTTTAACTCTCATTTAGGTCGCGTAAGCCAAAAACCGCTCGAACTAAAATTCGAGTTTCGGGCTGTACACTACTAAGCTGAAACTTTGAAAAATCATAACTTCCTCATACGAAGTCAGATTTGGGCGTTCTTTTTACGGATTTTCTCATTTTAACATACTCTACGACTTTGGTTTAGATAACTAAGGCTTAAAAGTCTTCTATCATAAATTCACTTTTTACGCTTCTCGGTGCCGTGCCGGTTTTGCCGTAAAACTTCGACGGGCCATAACTTCTTCGTTATAACTCAGATTTCGGCGTTCTTTATATGTACGGAAACCTTGTGACATATACTATAACTTGGTTAAAATTATTTATTCTAAATAATCTTTTGCCGAAAATTCGTTTTCGACCCATATTGCCTCTAAATTGACTAGCCCGGATCTACAGGCGTTACACAACCAATCACAATACTTTGATTTCAAGTAGTCGTATCGGTTTTTCATATACTTTTGATCAACTAAAAAATTGTAATCTGTTTTCAATCTTTCAGTTACATTCTTCCATGAGTTCGCTTTCAAACTACTCCCTTCACGTTCATAAGTAGTAATTTCTTGAATACAAGCTTCAAGAAATGTTTTTTCCACACATTCTATCTGTTTCCAATTATATCTTGGCTTTTTTGTGCCATTTGTGTCATGTCTAGTATTCAAAATTCACCAACATGTTTCATCAAGAAAATCCAACAATGATAAAAAAAAAGCATGGCAACAAATCAACAAGAACACATATTTTTTGAACTTTCAATCACAAATAAATAGCACATTAGCAAGAAACAGCAACAAAACATATTCACAACAAGAACATATATTTTTAGACTTATAATCACATCTAACAGCAAGAAAACAACAAATCAGCATGAAAACAACAACTAAACAACAATGAAACAGCAACAACACATCAACGCAGGGAAGAAGAAGGAAGCGAGGTATGCTAGACAAAATAGAAAAACGTACCGGTGAAGGGGGAGACGACGAGGAAAGAAGCGACGAAGGCAGAGGTTGTCCGACGTTGGAGGTTCGACGATGGCTGATTAAAATCAACGCAGGGAAGAGGATGTTGGAAAGAAGATGCTCGAAGAAGAAGAAGAAGAAGGGCGCAGAAAAAAAATGGCAAACATCTTGTATCTGATTTTAGGGCAAGGGTATCAAAGGAATAATTACCATCCAGACTCCTTATCTCATCTGATTGAATAATATAATATTTTTTAATATCTGACCGATTAAAAGGCTGAAATAGTGTCAACCAAACACTCTGAATCGATTCAGAGTCAGCCTCTTTATGATATCTTTAAAAGACTAAACAAACAGCCCCAAAATCATCCTTTTTATGAAATCTTTAAAAAGCCAAACAAATAACCCCAAAGTCATCTAACTCAACCCTACGCATGATATGCAATATGTACATGATTAACTTAACATTTTTTAAAATCATTAAGCAAGAAATTTCAAATAATTAAAATTTTATCATCTAAATATGCAAAACATCATAATGTCATAGTCAGCATGATTACCATAAACTCATTATCAAAGCATATAATAGGAACTATATTTAAATCGAAAAAATACCAAAATATTATATTATTATTGAAAAAAATATCAACTCTTTTTGTGGAAAAAAAAAGAATCAAACGGAGAGTTAACCGGGAGAAGTTTAGATCAGAGTTAACAGGGGACCGACAAATCATATATCGAATCGAGTTGGACTCGGAAACGTTGGGATCAGAATTGTCGAGACAATCAAATCGGTTGCCTATTTTAGTAATTTTACCATTGAGTTTAGTCCGGTTCAAGGGTGGACAATTCCATGTTTTTTCTACTTTCAAGGGTTTCTAGACTCGAATGGATCCAAAGCCATCTATCTGGAATTGGTTGAAGTCGCTATCAAATTTGCATCCAATTCCCACGAATTTGGAGCAAATTAGTTCACGGCTGACTTCAGCTACCATCTTTCACGTGTCTCTTTCTCATATGGGCCTTGCATTTGTCACTACGAACGTGGGTTTACTTCCATCAAGAGAATTTTCCCCGCAGCCACCCTCTTTCGTACCTTAAACCCTCTTTTTCTCCCCAAACTTTAACAAAAACCCTGAAAATTCATCTGATCATATCAGCCTGTGAAGAAAGATCTCTGGGATTTCGGCAGATCAGATATGGGTTTTCTTTGAAGAAGGGGGAATGACTGATTTCAGAACAAAATTGGGGGTGGAAGGAGGCGGGTATTACTATTATGGTATATGCACCGCCGGTGGAATGTTCAGCGCCGGTGCCACCCATCTCGCCGTCACCCCTCTTGATGTCTTGAAAGTCAATATGCAGGTCAGATACCTTTTTCCATTAACACGCTTACACATAAAAATTCTTCATTTTGCATCAATTCTCCGTAACGATTTCGCAACTATTTTTGCGTTAGGGTTCTTTGATCTTTACATACTTTTGACAATTTTCGTGTCAATTTCATTAACATAGGTGAATCCAATCAAGTTTCACAGTATCGCCTCTGGTCTCAATATTCTCTGGAAAGAAGAAGGTCCTTCGTCTCTATGGAGAGGATGGTCGGGTAAACTATTCGGCTATGGCGTTCAAGGTGGATTCAAATTCGGACTTTACGAATTCTTCAAAAGACGTTACACAGATCTATTAACAGACGAAAGACAAAGCATCGTATATTTTCTCAGCAGTGCATCTGCTCAAGTATTTGCAGACATTGCTCTTTGTCCATTCGAAGCTGTGAAAGTTCGTGTCCAAACACAACCCAATTTCGCAAAGGGATTATCAGATGGGTTCCCAAAATTATATTCACGAGAAGGAATTTCTGGATTTTACAAGGGACTTCTTCCACTTTGGGGACGTAATCTTCCATTTTCAATGATCATGTTCTCAACATTTGAGCATTCGGTTGACCTAATCTACAAAAAAATTGTTCAAAAGAGAAAGGAGGAATGTTCGAGGGGACAACAATTAGGGGTGACATGTTTAGCTGGGTATACTGCTGGAGCTGTGGGAACTGTGATTTCGAATCCAGCTGATAATATCGTGTCTTCTTTATATAACAAGAAGGCTAATCACACAGTGTTGCAGGTTGCAAAGAGTATTGGAATGGTGAATTTGTTTACAAGAAGTCTTCCTATAAGAGTTGCACTTGTGGGACCTGTTGTGACTCTTCAATGGTTTTTCTATGATACGATTAAAGTGCTTAATGGACTGTAAGTGCTCGTGTTCTTCAGTTTCTGATTATTTGATCTGTTTTACAATTGAAGTTTAATCGGAAATTGTTTAATTGTTATAGGCCTACGACTGGAGGGGTTAGCTTAGGGGTAGAAGGAGATGCATGAAGCATTGCTTCAATGGTGGTTCACTTTTGAGGTCTCCTTCCTGCAATTTTAACACTCATTAACATTTTATTGGTTTGTATAAGTATAAAAATATATACAAAATGTAGTTCTTTTTTTCTTGGTTTATAGAAATTGTAATGCTTTGTTCTTAAAGAAACATTATGCGCTTCAAAGATGAATGAAAAAAGTAAGATACGAGCTCTGATGTGAGGAATAAAAATGTCAGAAAATGTTATGGGCAATGAAGTCGTTTGAGCTTTTTATGACATGCTTGAGAATTTATAAGTTTGTAAAACAGAATTTTTATTATTATATGTTATTCTATTATCTTATTAATTATTTCATGAGACCTACTATAGTGAAATGTAGAGGCGTGAGTAGGCCGGGTATCCGCCCTCATTGTCTGGAACTGGAACCGGAATCGGTGGTTCCTGAAATGTTGGAAATGGAACTGAAACTAATAATAGTCACCTGAAATGTTGGAACTGGAATTGAAACTGATGATAATGGTTCCTTAAATATTGTTAACCCTTTATTTTTATAAAACATATCATTATACACTTATAAAAAAATATTTTTTTCTTTCATCACTTTCATTTGAAACTCTCATGTATTTTTTCTTTAACCATATTCGTTTGAAACTCTCATTTTTCAATTTCTTTCTAATAATAATTATAATTTGGTTAATTAGGTTAAATAAATATCAAACCAAAAGTATAATTATATATAAACTAAATTTCAATATTAAAATAATATAAAAGTTTTTTTTTTTTTTTTTTTTTTTTTTTTTTTTTTTTTTTTTTTAACTTTGGGAGAATTTCATATATGTCCTCCTTAAACTTTCAAAATATCATATTTGTCCAATTTAATTTCTCAATATCATATTTATCTTTTATTAACCTTCAAAATATTATATTTGCCAAAATCATTTTTTTATAATGTTTTTAATATTTTATAATCATTTTCTATACCTTAGAGTTATTGTAATAATTAAGAAATTTAACCATATTATCCTTACGTTTATGATAAATTGATAATGGAATGTGAACTTCTAAATTGTTGGAATGTCTACCTCTTGACAGTAGGGATTGGCAGTTTGTCCCAAATCCCGATCCCGTACCGGTACTGTACCGGAACCGATACCGAATCGTACAAATTTAAAAATACGGGACGGTACTTGGTACTCCGAATCATGAAATTAGGGAATCGGTACCGTCAGTACAGGTACTAGTACCGAGTACCGGTACTGATATCGGTGATGTTAATTCGGTTCGGTACTCGGGATTAACTTTTAATTAAATTCGGTATTCGGGAAATCGGGAACGGGACGAGTCGATACCGATTCTGTCCCACCCTTATCAGATTAAAGCTATAACTTTTGAACAGTTTAGACAAAATACTTAAATTATTAATTTAAATATAACAACATTACAATATCAACATAAATATAAATTTCAGTTCCACCTAAAAAACCAAAGAATATTTTTTAAATAATTAAAAGTGATAAATTGTAGTGATAAATACAAAAACTAAACTGTAATCTCAATTTAACTAAAATATTTTCTAAAGATATTTTTATAATCGTTAAAAGTTTTCAAATAAGTAACTTAAAGCAACTTATAATAACAATAGTTAAAAATAACTCTATGTAAATGATTATATTGTTACTTTTAAAATAAAAAATTAATGTTTGATGTTTTAAATAATTATAATGATAGAAATTAAAAAATTAAGAAAATAAATTTTAAAAAGTTAATAAACAATAACAACTATAAATAACATCAAACCATATATTATATTTAATTTTATTCATATGTAACTCGCAAGTACAATTTATTCAAACAATTGAGATTATGAAGTTATAATATATGTATATATTATCATATAATTTACAATAATCAATATTTTTATCAATTTAATATATAAATTATTATATCACATTTAACCACAACGTTATTGTTATATATTTTTTTAAAAAAACATATATTTTTAAAGATTTCATCTGTATAGATGTTTTTGCACATTACAACGTCAACTTAAATATAAATTTCAGTTTCACTTAAAAAACCAAAGAATATTTTGTAAATAGTTAAAAGTGATAAACTGTAGAGATAAATGCAAAACCTAAATTGTAATATCAATTTAATTAAAATATTTCCTACATATATTTTTATAATCATTAAAAGTTTCCAAATAAATAGCTTAAAATAACTTACAATAAAAATTGTTAAAAATAACTCTATATAAATAATTAGATTGTTACGTTTAAAATAAAAAAAATAATGTTTGATGTTTTAATTAATTATAATGATAGAAATTAAAATATTAAGCAAACAAATTTTAAAAAATTAATTAATAATAACAACAACTATAAATAACATTAAATCATATATTATATTTAATTTTATTCATGTGTAACTCGCGGGTAGAAGTCATTTAAACGACTGAGATTATTAAGTTATAATAAATGTATATATTATCATATAATTCAAAATAATCAATATATTATATCAATTTAATATACAAATTATTATATCAAATTTAACAATGTTGTTATATTTTAAAAAAACATATATTTGTAAATACTTCAACTATATAGGTGCTTTTGCGCAATGCGCGAATATTCGCGTAATATAAATTATATACATCGAAGATTTACAAAAAAAATTCGGATTGAACGATGAATATGAAAATAAATGGAATTTTTTCTAATGATCGTTATTTTTATTTATCTTGGCCGATTCAATTCTGTTTGCCACTAGTCTAATATCACATTTGGACAAGCTCATAGGTCAGAATATTTTCATTCATAATTAATTAAATTCTCAATCTAAGAAAATTCTTTTCTTGTTTATTTCTAACAATTTTAACTCAGTTTATACCACAATATGAAAAATTTAACTTATTTTAATATCAAAACACTTCTAGAATAAAAAATTATATACCAATTAGATGAGTTTAAAACCAACTAATGAAGTCCTAATATAATTAGTAGCAACAATAAATTAAAACATAGCAGTAGTAAACAAAAAATGCAATGGCAACAATAGTAATAATTTTCAAAAATGTCAAAGTTTTTCATGAATTTTTATTCTAATAAATGAATAGTTTTAGTTTTTTTTTTGTCAAGTGTCACTTTAATACAACTCCTTATTAATATTATGCATGTATCATGTAGATATATTAGGTAACTCATTTCAAAATTCAAATTTATATTTTCTAATTATATATTAAATTTGAAGTTATAATAACTTTAAAAAGTTGATATATCTCTTAATTAATCATTTATTTAAAATGACTTATTTAAAATAATTAATTAATAATTATAATTTTTTATTATAAAATTTTAATTAATTGACTTATTTAAAATAATTGATTAATAATTATATATTATTATTATAAAAACTTAATTAATTTTATAATCGTAGTTCCTCACGGGTTATAAACTAATATTATAATATAATACAAACTCACTAACAAAAAAATGTGTCAAAAGTATGTCAACTTTTAAATCATTATTATGGTTTTGTAAAATATTTCATTTTGAGCACTATTAAGGAAAACGACATGCCATTGGTTCATGTGGTTAGCAAAATTACATGAAAGATCTTCATGCCCTTAAATTTAACCTTTTAGCTGTTGGATTTTAATGAAAAAAACTATTTTACCTTTATACCAAAGTTGTAATATACTACAAACCTCAAGTATCATTTATATAATTTTGTGAAGTTGAAAATTTGTATATATATATATATATGGTTTTGTAATATATGGTTTTGTAATATACTACAAACCTCAAGTATCATTTATATAATTTTGTGAAGTTGAAAATTTGTATATATATATATATATATATATATATATATATATATATATATATATATATATATATATATATATATATATATAATTTTAACAATTTGATAACTTTTTTTTTCTTTTCGATATTTTGTTTTCTATTTTTATTTTATAATTTCAGTTATTTATGGTTTTTTTAATGTTTTTATTTATTTTGATTCAAGTAAATAAACTTAAATTCGATAAACCTTGTCGAACCCTTTTTTCTTTAATTCTTCTTATTTGTGAATTGAAACGTTAACGTTTTTTTTTAATAATTTTATGTCGTTACGGTTTATGTTTTTTACTTAGATGTTCCACAGTTAATATCGTTAGCAACTTTATATGTTTGTGTTTATCATTATCATTATTACACTTTTTGGTTTCTATTTTTTTATAATTTTATTTTGATTCAAGCAATGAAAAATAAAAAAACAAAAAACAGAAACTCAAACACCAAAATTGTAATATGCTCTAATATATTCATACATTTTACACTTTTTGGAAAAGTTAAAAAAAAGTTATCAAAATGGTGAAAAATAAAACAAAACAACAAAAAAATAAAAATAGGAAAAAAGTAAAAAATAATATGATATATATATATATCTATATATATATATATATATATATATATATATATATATATATATAGAGAGAGAGAGAGAGAGAGAGAGAGAGAGAGATAGATAGATAGATAGAGATAGATTCATGTATTTAAAGTAATTATTGTGTTATTGTATGCACCAATCAGATTTTAGATAAATCAAATCATTTAATAAATAATATAAGGGTATTATAGTAATCTTCTTATTAGTTAATTATGGTAAAATAGATATATAATTGGATATTAGCTGTATTGCTAGTAAATCGCAAGAAGCACATATATATATATTTATAACATTCAATCGACATCAAGATTCAAAACCCTAAATTGAAGCAAATATCGTTTTTTCCTTCTTCACTTCTCAAATCCGATCGACACCTCACAAAATCGCACGTCCTCTTCTTCGCGTCTCCTCCTTCCGGTCGATAGAAGCCAAATGATTGCAGCTCCCTTCTCTCTTCTCAAATCGATTGATGAAATTAACATGTCCTTAATCTTACTGATGGATCGGACGTAGTTGTGTCCCTTTTCCTCCTCTATTTCTGATTCGAATAGCACCACACTCTTCTATTTTTTATTGGCAGAATTGATGAATGTTGGTGGTTTGGCGGAGGTTAATGGACTTATAAGGTTGGGTGTTTGGTGATGGTGGTGGGTGGAAAATGGTATAAGGTGGTACTGAGTGGTTCGGTGGTGGCAGTTTTCACGAGACAGGGGGAGGAATAAGGGTGGTTTCGATTGGCTGTTGTGATTTGGGTTCTCACAGGTGGCTGTTTAAGGTATATTCATTGGTGATGAATGTGGGATAAAGGAGGCAGAAGGGTGATGTTTTTTAGGAGTTTGAAGGTTGATAACGGTGATGGGTAAGAAAT